CTTGCAAGGTTGGATACTTGAGACGATTCAGTTTCCACCATAAGAGCAAATCAAACTCTGTTGTCCGAGGATAAATATCCTCAACAAGATACATATCCAACTCAGTTGTAATCAAGGAAGTCCTACTCTTTTTTCTTTGATTTACAAAGAGTTCAAAGTCAAGTTCAGTGGCAGAGGAAAATCCATAACTAGAAGAAGAAGTTCCCGTTTCAGATTCAGATTTCTTCTCCGCTTTAGTTTGATAATCACGAATCAAATCACATATAATTTGCTTGATATTCTCAACAACCAAATCAGTTTCCGTATTCCCAAACTTACCGACATAGTATTCAATCATATGGAGCTTATATCTATGATCCAAAACAATCAAGACAACAAGCACAAGATGTATATCATCCCAGTACTTATCAAACTTCAATGACATTTGACTGGGCATTCCAAAAATCATATGATTGGAATCAAGACCCCACTCATTCAATTTAAGTCTGAGATCACAAATCTTGGGGAAGAAAAGATTGCCAGTCAGATACTTGGAACCAGAGAACAACTTAGTAATCTAGAAAAAAATTTGAAGCTTGTCAATCACAATAGAAGCAAATTCCCATTCTTCGCTAGAAGGAACTGATGTGTAATGATTGTCTCTCAAAATCAAATGAAATAAAACATCCTTGTATAGAATAGCCACAAAGTGCATATGATAGGTGGAATCCCCTAGTTGGACAATCAAGGGCTAATGTTTTTCTCAACGGAAAGCTTAAGCTGCTTAGCAACTTCGAAGAAGGTTTGAACCCTATTAGGTGTAGAATTCCACTAAACTACACTCCCCCTAATCAAATGTATAGCATTCTTGATTGCATCCAAACCATCCCTCACAATGTTAAAATCGTCTAAATTAGAGAACAAGAAAAGAAAATTTTTCAATTGAGAAAAATCAAACAGGGTGTTACAAATGTGGACGACAGGGTCACATCAAGGCAAAATGTCCTCTCTGGAGGAAGGAGAAAGCTATGGCTGCAACCTGTAGTTGCAGTGAAGATGATGAGGATGACTACGAAGAGCTTCCTCACAAGAAAGATGCTTGTTTGATGGCCATTGATGATTTGTCACTCGATCCTCATAGCAGAAAATCCGAGGTAAGTAAACCTCTAGACTTTAATGAATCTGATTATTACAGTGATGATTACCCTCTAACAAACACCATTAGAAGTATTCAACTTGAATTTGCGGTGGTAAAGGTAAAATACAATAAGCTAAAAGATGAGCATAATCAAACAAAAATCAAATGTGAAATTTTAAGTGAATAGTCTGATGAATATAAAGAAAAATGCAAAATTCTGGTTGACACAGTAGCAAAACTAGAAGAGTTGAAACTCGAAAATTATAGGCTTAAAATAATTATCATAACGAAATGACAAATCATGAAAGTCCTAAACTTAAACTAGAGAAGTGGAGATCTAAAAACAAAAAGCTCAAAGGAAAAACAGTTGAGTCAGAAATAAACAAGAATGAAGTCAATAGTAACAACGAAAATGAAAAGGAATCACATATACCGAGTAATTGTGATTTCCCTAGCAAGATTAATAAGAAGTGTAGTGATAGTGAAAAATCTGAATACTTGAAAAAGATAACAAGGCATTAATTCAACAAGTTGAGAGTTAAAGACTGGAAATCTGTAAACTCATGGATAAACAAAAATATGAATACTATTGGAATAGAAAGACCACGAATAATGAGTATTCTCGTTTTCATAACGTAAGATCGTGTTTCACTTGTCACAAACTAGGACATTTAAGTAGGAATTGTTTCTGGAATAAAAGTAACTATGTTAAATTCCATAAAATAAAGGAACCCAAGTTTATCTGGGTTCGCCAAACAACATGATTGTTAAGTGTGCCGGTTTGTTTCCAAGTGAGCCTGGGGACAAAATCAAATGAATTCTCGGGAATTGGTGCTCACAGCATTTGCAATCCTTCTAGAGTCTCATTCATATTAGCTGAAACAGAATGAGAAAAAGAGAGTGAGGAAATGTAAAGAATGATGAGCAAAAGATCAGGTTAAAGAAATTTCACATCTCATAGTCACATTCTCACTAGAGTAGGCATCAGTTTGTTGTCACAGGCAATCCAGACTAAGGTATGGCCTTTAAATCGTTTGAATGACTTTAGTTATTCAAAATCGTTCGAGCCGTCTGGAATGATCAGTAAAAGAAGCAGATCAGCTTTTATGCCTAGCCTGGTATTTCATTATTTGTCTCTCTGCATACTAAGACTCCAGTTTGGATAAGACATTCAAGATTTAATCTATGACTCTAGTTTGGATAAGACATTTAGATTTAATCTACCAAAGGCTGGTATTGTGATAGCATATGTGGCTCTCATATGGACTACAGCTAAAGCAAGGTTACTCGTAATCATACCCTACACAAGCTAAGTACTATCTTCAACTCGTTGCTAATAATTTTCATATGTTGATTTCTTTAGAACCCAATAATCAGAGGGTCTATTTCAATATGAATATAACTTACAGTGCCTGCTACTCAAATCTTTTGTCCTATATGACCTTTGTGTTGCATTCAAGGTTTTTAGTATCAAGCAATTAATCTGGTAATTGTTAAGGCTTATACCCCATGATTATATTTGATACAACTTGTTGACACGACCACTTGTCTTTCGAAGTTATACATGTTGCTTCTCATATATGTTGGATTAGGCGGGAGGGTAATGCTAAAGGGGGAGAATGGTTTGACTAGTTCCATAGGTTGCCTTGGCTATTATCAGGCCTCGTCTTTTATTGAAAATAAAGGGGGAGAGATAAGTAATATCCTCAATAGGTTATTAGCTTCTTCTTGTTGGGTTATTAGCTTCTTCTTGTTGGGGAGCAAGCTTAAGTAATTGAGAGCTTCTATTAAAGAAGTTGTTATGCCCACATAAAGGATGTCAGCTAGAATTGAGGGGGAGTAAGCTCAAGTGATTAATGATTTTGAGTCTAGAAGATACGGTCACTTCTTTACTATGCTGATTACTTGCTGCAATCTTTCTGTGACGTGCCTAACAAAGTTTTATCAGAGACTTTATTGCTAATGAAAATCTTAGGGGGAGATTGTTGGGAGAAAAGCTTCTCATTAACAAACTGGAGAGATCCCATAGTGTTTGGGTCAAATATTAAGTGGATGTAATGTGCAATTAAGTCTTATGATAATATTAAGTGTAATGATTGAGGATGCAGGAAGAAAAATATCATTCGTAAAAGGAAGGTAGCTTGATGTCAAAGCTATTGGAGCAACGTGACAATGAAGAAAGGAGAAAGCTTCAAATCACACTCAAGGCCTCACAAGATTCACAGCTAGCACAAGCTGGGAATATTCAGCAGCTTCAAGTACAACGACCATAAAGCACAAAAGGAAAGAATATAAATTTGATTGCAGTGAGACCAATCAAGCGAGAGCAAACAAGGAAGATTCCTGAAGCAGAATGGTTGAAGAAACAATATAAATAGAAGAGACCAAATGCTAATTACTGTAGACTTTTCGGGTGAATCAAAATCAGAGTGCTAAGGGGTGTGAGCAAGATCATGAATGAAAAGCTGGCACAAGTGTCAGGGGAGATTTCTGGGTCTAGGTATTAGGCAATACCAAGGTTCTATCAGATGGGTAGTTGATAGGTTAGTTTCGTCGATTCAGCGGGGAGCTAATCGACTAGGTATTTGAGAGTTTTTTGTAAATTTGTGAGCTTCATCGAATCATCCTTAGTGCATTGTCTGAGATCACACAACGTGGTACTCGGATCGTGGAATAGTCAGTGTTGAGATCCTTATTCTCTCACCACTGGAAACCACGTAAAAATTCGTGTGTGGTGTTCCAAGTACAGGGGAGCTCTTTGATCTTTCAGAACCAAACTTACTCCACTCAGAAGGTTTGTCAATACAGTGAGTTTTTATTAAAGTAATTGTGGTGGGCTTTGGGAAGTGATTTCCGTCGTTCTACTTTTGTAAGGGTTAATCAAATAAAAGAACAAAGGTTTTGGGCCCAAGGGTTAAAAGCCCAATTCATGTGTGACGGAGAAGGAGTATCTGCTGGTTTCATTTTCGATCAAACACAAGTTTCGTTGTTCTCTCTCACTTGTTCTTGGCTGGAACGCAGAAGGTTGATTTACAGGTACCAAAATCACAGACGTAGAAGAAGAAAGAGGCAAAACCGTCTCGCGCTCGACGACCAATAGTTGTCTGCGCACCCGTTGCTCTACCATGGGGTATTTCATCATTCTAGGTGGCAGCCTGATTTCTCTGGTTACCACTTGATACGACCCTGGAGGGTGTTGACCTCACTAATCGAGCTTGAAACACCGAAGATAGCAACTTGTCGATGAAGCCAAGTTGCCAATGAGAGTTTAAACGAAAACGGATGGAACCCCTATGCAATCCTACACCTGGAGGAAGGCTCAATGAGTTTATGTCGAAGCTCGTCCACGATCAAGGCGGTATTGATCGATACAAGAGCAGGTTCGAGCTTGGTTTTCTCGGCCAAAGCTCTCCAACCAAAAACTAGCAACGAGACTTAGTTTAGGGTTTTGATTTTCTATATTCAACTAAAAAACTGTGTTACAAAACGTGGGTAAGCCTTAAATAGAGATTACAAGTAGTCCGGAAAGTGAAAGAAACCTAAACTAACAAGGTAAGCCAAAACATTCCCAATTCTAATATAAAACGGAAACTTAAAATGCAAGAAACTAGCTGAAGTTGATACCAACTTTGAGACCCTCGTTCTCCATTCTCCCAACTCCAATTGGATCACCCAATATCTTGTTTCTTTACTAGAAAATGCGAACTATCATGTGGGCTAAACTTCGAAGCCAGATTCCCAGCCGTTTGTCGTGCCCTGAGCTTCAAAGTGGCGTTCTCGAAACTGTCCCATGCCTTAGGCAAAAACTGGCAGTTTGCCTGTGTTGGGACAGACTTTTGATGAGCTCGAAAACCACTCTTCCCAGCATCAACTCGACCTTCCAGACACTCCATGTTACAAACAAAGTTACCATATTCAACATAAATCAACCAATTCCCATTTTCATCCATCCAGTAAAGAGGAAGAGGCTCGCAAAGAGTGCTACCCGAAACAGCTTCCATACTTAACCAAAAATCCAGGTTTTTAAAGTGTGTATGATTAGCTCCTTTGGCAACCAACTTGGGAAGATGGAGGAGGGATTTTGGGATCATATCAGGCCCTCCCTCTTTTAAAAGCTTTGCCCTCAAAGCTGGTTCTTTCCTCCTCTCATAATTTTCACAAAACTGACTCCAAATAGGGTCGCAAAACGGCTGCTCAAACCACGTTTTCTGAGAAATGCAGGCGCTGTTCTTCGAGCTGGAAATTGGGGATTCTTGATTCCAGCATCGTCGTCCCAATTCATTGTCTCCAAAGCATCCTTTCACCCTCCAATCGAACTCCTGAACCTGCCCCCACCTTCGATTCTGCCCATCGTCGTCGAATCGACGATTCCATTTTTCCCGCCGCCTGCCGAGTTCAAATTCTGGTCACCCAGAATTGTCAATTCCGATTTGGGCGTTTCGTTCTCAGCTTGCGGTGGTAGCAATTGAAGCTGCCTACAGCTTTCTAGGGCTTGACCCAATGATTCCACGTCAACCGATTCGACCGATTCGTGGCCAACTCTCCCACCCCATTCATGCCTGTTTCGCTCGTGCTTGTGCTCCAACAGGGGGATTGGCGCTTGAATGAGATCCTGCAAAACAAAAGGAGTCGACTCAAAAGGAACAAGGGAAAAGCTTCCCTGGGCATGGTCGAACACGTTGGACGCATTGGTCTGGTTCGGCGTGTTCCCAGGAGCCCCACCCAATAATACCTCTCTCCTGCCCTGCCTCACCGTCGACGAAAAACAGGGGTTGCTCTTGAAGCTTGGTCGTCGGAGCTTCTCCCGTTTCAACGCCGTTAACATGAACCGACTAGAGAACAATTCCTTCCTGGACTTGCCTGCTTGAGTTCCCTCGCCATTCTTAGCCCGGCTTGCAGCCAGCTTTTGTTGATCACTGCGAACTTCGGAAGGGGGCAGAGGTTTCAACACAATGTTCTTCCCACCAAACTTGAATTTATGACAATTTGTGCCGCCGTCGTGGGTTACCGCTCGGCCGAACTGCCAAGGTCTCCCTATCAATATATGGGTAGCTTGCATCGGCACCACATCAAACAACAATTCATCCTTGTAGCCGCCGATCTCGAACGTGACTCGGGCTTGATTCGTGACCTTGATCGACCCGTAATCGTTGAGCCAATGCAATCCGTAAGGTTCAGGGTGTTTAATCGTTGCCAACCCCAATTGTTTAACCACGTCGTTGCTAATTACGTTCGTACAACTCCCCCCATCGATGACCATTGATAGGCACTTACCATCGACCAAACACCTCGTGTGGAAGAGGTTGGTTCGTTGGTCGTTTTCGGCATCAGCTTCCACCCTCAAAGCTCTGAGGTTCATGCCAGACAGAAAAGGACCCTTCTCGGCTTCAATTTCTTCATCGACTTCATCGTCTGAGGAGCTATCTTTCCTCTTCGTCTCATGTCCAACTTCATCGTCGGAGACGTACTCACCATCTCGCAAAATCATTGCCTTCACGTTTGGGCATTGATTGGCCTTATGGCCCCTGCCGTAGCATTTAAAACATTGAATCGAACTACTAGAGCTTCCTGCTCGTTCTTGATGGCTCGGAGCACTTCGTGAAGCAAGTTTGGATGCCTCTGGTTTTGGTTGGACGAGAGTAGCTTCGGCAGGAATCTCAACAACAGATTTGGCACTTGTAAATCTTTGTCCCGTTGAGGATTTTTGTTGTTTCTCCACTTTAATTGCGAGGTGAACAACCTCTTCAAGCTCAACAAAGGGTCGTAGCTCAACCTCATGTCAAATTTCACGATTCAACCCGTGAAGAAATCTGGAAATTGTCGCCTTCTGGTCTTCACGCACATCAGCCCGCATCAAGAGCAACTCGAGCTCTCGAAAGTACTCTTCAACGCTCCTCGTTCCTTGTCGAATGCCCTGTATTGCGTTATAGAGGTCTCGTTGAAAATATCCCGGGACAAAGCGATCCCTCATCAGTCCACGCAACTCGTCCCATGTAGTTACAGGGGCTTGGTGATTTCGCCTTCGACGGAGCTGAAGTTGTTCCCACCACTGCGCGGCGTATTCAGAGAACTCGTACGTCGCCATAGACACCTTCTGTTGTTCGGTAAATTGGCCGCATTCAAAGAACAGGAGAATTTTCCTCTCCCAATCAAGGTATGCTGCTGGGTTCAGGGTCCCTTGAAATTGAGGAACAAAGAGTTTTATTCCCGGAGGAATCGTCGACTCTGTTTCCGGCTTCCTTCCCCGATGCTCACGTCGTCGTCGTCGTCGTCCCCGCTGAGGATCATCGACGACCAGCTGTTCCAACTTCTCAACTCGGGCCAGCAACTCTCGATTACCAGCTTCGGTTGAAACAAGGCCACGGTCCCCTGTTTGGTGCTGCAAATTCGCGGCCGGAGTCAGAGCATCAAGTCTCTGTCCTTGCTGCTCCAATTGGTGCTCAATTTTGTCAAACTGAGCTTGAAACAGCGTCCTCATCTGTGCCGTAATAGTTTGTAGGAATTCCATTGTATTAAACTGTCCCGACATCGGGATTACTGCCTCCTGATTTGGCTCGTCGGAATCGACACTTTCCTTCTATCGAACAGCAGGGTCTTGTTCAACAGGACCTTTGGACCTCGTCCAAATCGTCTTTACCGCAATGTCGCCCTCCGTCCTGTCCACTGAGGTGAACCGGGCTCTGGTTACCACTTGATACGACCCTGGAGGGTGTTGAGCTCACGAATCAAGCTTGAAACACCAAAGATTGCAACTTGTCGATGAAGCCAAGCTGCCAATGAGAGTTTCAACGAAAACGGATGGAACCCCTCTGCAATCCTACACCTGGAGGAAGGCTGAATGAGTTTATGTCGAAGCTCGTCCACGATCAAGGCGGTATTGATCGATACAAGAGCAGGTTCGAGCTTGGTTTTCTCGGCTAAAGCTTCTCCAACCAAAAACTAGCAACAAGACTTAGTTTAGGGTTTTGATTTTCTGTATTCAACTAAAAAACTGTGTTACAAAACGTGGGTAAGCCTTAAATAGAGATTACAAGTAGTCTGGAAAGTGAAAGAAACCTAAACTAACAAGGTAAGCCAAAACAATCCGAATTCTAATACAAAACGGAAACTTAAAATGCAAGAAACTAGCTGAAGTTGATACCAACTTTGAGACCCTCGTTCTCCATTCTCCCAACTCCAATTGGATCACCCAATACCTTGTTTCTGTACTAGAAAATGCGAACTATCATGTGGGCTAAACTTCGAAGCCAGATTCCCAGCCGTTTGTCGTGCCCTGAGCTTCAAAGTGGCGTTCTCGAAACTGTCCCATGCCTTAGGCAAAAACTGGCAGTTTGCCTGTGTTGGGATAGACTTTTGATGAGCTCGAAAACCACTCTTCCCAACATCAACTCGAGCTTCTAGACACTCCACGTTACAAACAAAGTTACCATATTCAACATAAATCAACCAATTCCCATTTTCATCCATCCAGTAAAGAGGAAGAGGCTCGCAAAGAGTGCTACCCGAAACAGCTTCCATACTTAACCAAAAATCCAGGTTCTTCAAGTGTGTATGATTAGCTCCTTTGGCAACCAACTTGGGAAGATGGAGGAGGGATTTTGGAATCATATCAGGCCCTCCCTATTTGCAGCCATGCTGCACGTCGGATGTAAGTTGTGCAGCAAGAACAAAAATCCTAATAATACTAAACCGAAGGCTCCTTGTGTGAGCCTTCTGTGGACTAGTCTTGTTCATATGAACGAGGATACCACATAAATCTTCGCGTCGTTGTTTTTTGTTTCTTGAGTTTTAGCATAGGTTACCATCAATAATGGTATGATATTTACCCCTTTCAACCCATACAAACTCAAAATATCCTTTTTCACAGTGTTTCTACTAGGAACAGCGAAATGAGGTTGCAGAGAACATAAAATTCGTTTGAAACCCACATGATCAACAAGACTAATGGGGTACTCATGGAACAGAATCATGGAACAAAGTTCCTTTCTAGAAACCTCATAATTGTATTGAGAAGCAGAGAGTTGAGAATTTCCAGTAGGTTGATAGTTGGGGTCAAGTATTTTTTGAGAACCATTATGTATCCTCTTATGGATACATGTTTTGATATGGTTTATGATCTCCCATAACTAACACAGAAAAAATAGGCAAGAGTACCTATCGTTCTAGGGCAGTATAGCAGGAAGCAAGGTCGTATCCATAGAGACTATGTGTACTAGTACTTGGCTTTTACCTATTATTTAGTGAATCATTTTTAGTGATTTTGTTTAGATATAAAAATAAAATAAAATAAAATAGTTTTCAAAGTAAAATCAAGTAGAGAAGGCGTTGTCCCGGTAGTGAATCCCCCTAATATGCATTTTACAGACAAATTGAATTTAACATAGATGAGTGTGCATATCTTAGACTGTGAATATATTTGTATGTCCTGAACTTTAAACATAATAAACACCTTGCCAATCTTTTCGATCTATAGCATCCTGGCCCAAAATATACATCAAAGTAACGAAATTGGCCAAACCCGTTGACTAACGGTCAACGCGCCACATCACTGCCAAATCAGCAACTTTCACTTAAATTTTTCTATAATTTCCACCTATTATCATTTTTCTTTTTCATTTTGAACAAAGCAAAACAAAAATTAATCAAAACAAAAAAATAAACCCTTCCACTTTCACTCCCCGCTGTCGTCTCCTCTCCAATTCCCTTCCACTCCCCACTGCCGAACAGTCCCACTACCACCGCCCAACGGTGAAGCCCACTCTTTTAGGTGATCTCTCTTCACACTCTCAAATCTCTATCCCCTCCCTTCTCCTCCGTTCCTGCAATGGAAACTTTCACAATCCTTCTCACCCTCTCAATCTGCCTCCTCTGCGGCCTATACTAGTTTGTCTGCCTTTTGGACTTCGCCGAGCAAAAGGGCAAGCATGCCACCCAGATCTCCAGTGGCTCAATCTCCGCCGAGAAAGTCCAGGACAAGTACCAGCAGTATTGGTCCTTCTTCCGCACCCCGTCCCAGATCGAAACCTCCGAGAAAGTCCCCGCCATTGTGAAAACCGATTAAAGGCTTATTAAGTTTTAGGTTTTTGATTTGCAGAAATGGGAAAATAATAAACACCAAAAAAATTTTAGGTTTTAGGTTTTTGTTTGTTCAAAATGAAAATGAAAAATGATAATAGGTCAAAATTATAAAAAAAATTTAAGTGAAAGTTGCTGACTTGACAATGATGTGGCGCGGTGTATGCATTTTACAGACAAGTTGAATTTAACATAGACGCGTGTTCATATTATATACCGTGAAAATTCCCAATTTAGTGTTAACCCGTTCGCACATGTATTAACATCCTTTCGACTTAAGAATAAAGTGAAACGGTGGCTTACAAGACTCTTAAACCAAAGCATTAAGCATATTTTTGAATTTTTGTATAAGGTTTTTAAGCCAATCCAGAGGAACTATGTGACCCCATTGTCGGTTGCTCCAATCAATGCCTTCTTTTCACGAGAGATCTAACATGCAAAATTGCCTCGCAGTTTCATTTACATGTATTAGACCAAATATACAATAGACCCGTACTATTGATACTTGCACATTATAAGTCGAGAAAAGATAGTAAGAACGAGAACAACACGTCTATATCAAAGATACCACACAAACCATGTAAAACATATTAGGGTTCATCAAATCCAGAACAATTAGAAGATTAGCCGGACATGATGAGATTTAGAAAGATGAAGGTTGAGAACATTACCATGATGATGATGGCGAAGGTGGAGGGGTCGATAATACGGTATACATATTGAGTTGATAGACTACACCTATCAAACTTCCGACAGGAGAATAATTGATCGGTGAAGATAGTGGAAACTGACCATTCTACCACCATAAATGATTATCAAAACCCCACAGAACAGGAGCTTACTTCCGTAATTTCAATAACGCAATATACCACGGTATTCCCAAATACAAATACGAACATGAGAACCACGATGGATGAAATACAAGATATGATTAATAAAATGAAAACATTAACAAGAGTTTGGAATCGAAATGGATAGAGTTTCAGCTAACTTCAAACACAAGAAAGAAAGAAAGAAAGAAAGAAAGAAAGACCAAATTCTCAAAGTAGGGGTGTGTAGTCTATCTTTCTTCTCATGCAAGCTTCTATTTATAGGCAGCATGGTCTAGGAACACGCTCGTGTTTAAGGCCGTGTTTATAGCTGGACGCAGATCGATGTGTCAGCATTGCAGAGATTGACTGGCTGAATCTTTGACTAACGTGGTCGGTGAACACGACTGTGTTCCAGGGCGTGTTGACTAGTTGGTGGACAAAACTGTCGGTTGATCACTTAAAACATGCAAAAAAAAGGTAGACGTGCTGAAGTAACACGGTAGTGTTCCTAGTCCGTGTTAGATCCAACGATCGGCGGTCGTAAAAGTGATCTCTGCGTTCAAATGAATGCGAAATGTGATTCTGACAGTGAACACGTCCTAGAACACGGCCGTCTTCGTACCCACGTTACCCCTTTGCCAGCTCCTTGAATTTTGTTGACGTGGTCGGTGAACGTGGCCACGTTCCAGGGTGTGTTGCCCTGAACGTAGTTTGTCAACATGGCCATGTTTCTGGGTGTGTTGATGTTGACGTGGTCTCGGACATGGCCATGTTTATGCCCACGTTGACCCTTTGAAAGCTCCTTAACTTTTGTTGACCAGGTCTTCAACATGGCCACATTCCAGGGTGTGATGCCCTGAACGTGGTATGTGAACATGGCATGTTGCTAAGTGTGTTGATATTGACATGGTCTCGGACATGGCCATGTCGATGCCCACGTTGAAACTTTTGAAAGCGCTTTAAATTTTGTTGATGTGGTCTTCAACGTGGCCACGTTTTAGGGTGTGTTGTCCTGAAAGTGGTATGGGAACATGGCCAATATACTCCCACGTTGGCACTTTTGACAACTTTCCTTATGTTTAGCAGGAGGCAGTATGACTTGCATTGTTAACTACCTCTCGCTCCACGATTCATCAGCATAATACATTGCAGGTTTCGTATATTGACACCAAAAGGGGACGCGGCTGGAGTGGTACGGCTCTTTGCCCTCTTCTGAGACTTCGTAGGCTCGAGTTCCACCGATGCCAAATTTCAAACCCTAACCATCTTTTTGTTGAATTGGCTCATTGTTTCGTTCTTATTGGATAGAATACCCTGTAACATCACTCAAACACAAAACCAAGCATAAAATTCAGAAATAGAATGAACTTGGTACAATTTAGGTCATTTTAGGATGTAAAAGTGTAGGTGAATATATGTAAAATTCATGTGTTATCAAAGTTCCCCACACTTAATCTTTGCTTGCCTTCAAGCAAAGCATGAAAAATGTAAGTTAAATCAAAACCAATTTCACAAGAACTCTAACCGTGAGTTGGAAAAATGTAAATCACATGTGATTGCTAAAGATGATGCAATATCTAGCTGATAAAGATGCTTTCAACCACCACAAATGACATTTGATCTTAATACTCATGTGACATGGGATACTCTGACTCTGATTAATAAGAATAGTCTAGAGTAATGATTGGTCTTTCATCATATTCAACTGTTCAAACATAGGAATTGAAAACCATAGCATGAGAGATCGAGCAAATAGATCTTACTTGGATTTTAAGAGATGATGGAAGTCTCTCTCACTCGACCAGTGGGTTCAGGGTATAAAACATATCCAAAAGCGTGATCTACTTTCACATACATTTAGAAACACTCACCCTATCATCCCTTTGTCATGAGCTTGTCGTTCGAGTCTCAAAGATTGTGCACCACTGACTTGTCAGGTAGGACACGTGGAAGGATTTTTGTTTGGTGGTAAGTTCAAGTTACACAAATTTTTATACCAATGACGATGAATTTTCTGCTTTTATTTGTAAAATAGATAGGGAGAAACATTTTGAGAATTTTCCATGAGCTTCAAAATATCCAATGTGGCTTTTGAGATAAAAATGTCCCCCTTTTTTGTAAGTGCATAAAAGATGGTGGCCAACTCTTATAATTTTGTTTTCTTCTTTTCATCTATATTCCTTTGAAGGGAATGGCCAAGATTTTAATTTTTGCACATAAAGAAGTAGATTCTCCCTAACTCAATTGGTGTTTGAATTTAAGCAGAAAGTCATTTGTTTAAACCAATCAAACGGAACCTTTGAAAAACTCTCTAAAATATTGGAGTTTGAAGGGTAGATGGTCGGTTTGAAAACAGGTTGTTATCGAACAAATAGACTCATCTCAACAGGGTTTGACTAGGGGATATGGTGTTTAGGGTAGTCATTTCGCTTTAGGGGTAAACCTATTGCCTCTGTCGTCCTTATCAGTGGTGTCACGACTGAATATGTATAAATCAAGCATATCATCATGCACAGAGAATTACCTATCACACAAGAAAGAAACGATCATGCTCAAGTCTCACAGGGTCTCCTATATGCTCGGTTTCTCATGCTATGTTTCACAAATGCTAAGCAACAACAATCAAAGATGACGACTAACTTGTTCTAGATTTCAGAAAGTTCTTTCTATAAAATGAGAGTAACATGAGACACATTGATTTAATCCCTCAGTCATCATTATAGGTTGACATGCATCAAAATTGTATTATTCGTGCATCAAATTTAGGCATTCATGAGACTCAAAACCAAACACTCTTTTTATCTTTTGAATTTTTTTAAAAAAAATTTATGGTTTTTTTAGACACTAATCACAATGATTCTTTGTCAGAACACATGAAAATATAGGGAGTAAGGATTCGAACTGTTACCATTTTCCTTGTCGTGGGATGTAGTGGCATGATGTACGGTGATTGTGGTTCCACTTGGCGAATTCTTTGGTCGATGTTTGGTGATGGATTTTATTCTCGACATTGAAAAACTCAAAGAAATAGAAAATAAAAGAAAGGAAAGGAAATTGCAAACTGAGAATTAGGTTACCACCCAATAAGCACTTCTTTAACATCATGCTCGCTAGACGTTAGTTTATTGTGATAGGGGCTCGCAATTGGATCTGGGACCAGCTCGTAGTGTTCTTCAGAATTAATGTGATTGAGCTCCCTTTTCTTTATTTTTGGTCGCCATTCCTCTTTCATCTTTGCTTTGGGCGACATAAGGCGCCTAGTTGGTGATGGAGTTGTGTTTTCCTTAACCTGCAAATTAGATGGCTCCACAAATTTCTTGCATATGTGGTGAGATATAACATTGAAATTTGCGAGAATGCGAGAATCATTCACATAATCTTTGGATTTCTGGGGAAAATGCTCAGGAGTAGGGGTGGGAAACGGTGCGGTTGCGGTTAACTGCACCGCAATTTGCGGTTAACTGCAACCGCAAAACATCCATATTGGTCAACCGCGACCGCAACGGTTAGCGGTTAACCAAAAACCGCAAAACGCGGTTAGCGGTGAACCGCGGTTTATGGTTGTGAAAACCACAACAAACGAAACACCATATGAAACCGCAGTTAGCACTCTAACCGACAATTAACCGCGAACTAACCGCAAAAAAATCATGGAAAAAAAACATAGCAGCTACTGTTTTGTCGCAGGGGAACGCCGGACGGCCAGGGACGGCGGCGACCGGATGGCAAAGGCGCAGCGGGAAGATGAAGGGTCGAAGCTCCGAAGGGTTTTGGACTTTTGGTTTTCAGACTTCAGTTTCCGGTGGGAACTGTGAAGGGACGAAACGAAACGAATTAAGTCAATTAACGAAGGGTTTTGATTTTTGTTTCTTCAAAGTTCAAATCATAAGTCACTCAAAACGATTAAACGACGACGTCGGCAGGGAGAAGTGGGGAGGGCCGGGTCGGGTTTGGGGGTTTGGGCTGCTGCCTGCTGGCCAGGCTGGGCTGGGGTCAATTATGGGCTGGGCTGGGGGTGAATTATGGGCTGGGTTTGGTTTCGCGGTTAGCTATGCGGTTGTATGGATTTGCGGTTTCGGTTGCGGTTAAACCGCAAACCGCAAAACAGGCGATATCTCCAACCGCGACCGCAAAATAGGCCAAATATGCGGTTTGCGGTTAACCAATAACCGCGCGATTTCGGTG